GTGGACGTATATAATTAATAACATGAGAGTGTGGACGTAAGTAATTACTAATGTTAGAGAGTGGACTTTAGTAATATTAATGTTAGAGTTGACTTTAGTAATACTAATGTTAGAGATGACGTAAGTAATGACTAATGTTAGAAAGAGAGTAGACGTATATAATTAATAACATGAAAGTGTGGACGTTAGTAATGACTAATTTTAGATAGAGAGTAGACGTATATAATTACTAACATGAAAGTGTGGACGTTAGTAATTACTAATTTTAGATAGAGAGTAGACGTATATAATTACTAACATGAAAGTGTGGACGTTAGTAATGACTAATTTTAGATAGAGAGTAGACGTATATAATTACTAACATGAAAGTGTNTTTTTAGATAGAGAGTACACGAATATAATTACTAACATGAGAGTGTGGACGTTAGTAATTACTCATGTTAGAGAGTGGACGTTAATTATTACTAAATTATTCGACGTTCCGGCTTATCAGTTAGAAAGTAACTACCACACCACGCTGTTATGTTACATCGAATATTTAATATTAATATCAACCGTTTTTACTATCTCCCGAGGTAATAACGTCCACATATAATTATATATCTACAGTGTGACAGTTTAATCCCATTAAATAATGTGCATGCTATATCTTTATATGTATTTGGTTACTTTCATATCCACGTGTAAACCTGACGCGGCGTGTATATGCTATTGCCTGCATTTAATTAACCTCAGCTGATTATGATTTACATGTTAATGAGCTCGTTTACAATACCGTATAAACACGTGTCGCAATCCGTCGTCCCCGGAAATAAAATAAAACTTACATCGCAGTAATAAAATATTGGCAAACAACGCAAGATATGTTATGTATTCAATGACATAATGAAAGATTGACTGCTAATGCCTTTCTTGCTGTGATATACACAAAATACCTACATTATCGTCAGCGTACATCAGGTTTTTAAGTAACGGTTCATAAATCAAACGATATTATTGAATCATTAATCAACATTAATGACATGAATAAAACTGACGTGTGATCTTATAATCCCTTTTATTGGATAAACGGTACCAATAACATATGTTCCTATTATACCTCATAAATGATTTACGGTATCTAGTAACATATGTTCCTACAATCCCTCATAAATGATTTACGGTATCTAATAACACAAATGGTTCTACAATCCCTCATAAGTGATTTACGGTATCAATAACATGTGGTTCTACAATCCCTCATAAATGATTAACGGTATCTAATAACACAAATGGTTCTACAATCCCTCATAAATGATTTACGGTATCAATAACATGGGTTCTACAATCCCTCATAAATGATTTACGGTATCTAATAACACAAATGGTTCTACAATCCCTCATAAATGATTTACGATATCAATAACAGGTGGTTCTACAATCCCTCATAAATGATTAACGGTATCTAATAACACAAATGGCTCTACGATCCCATATAAATGATAAACGGTACCTAATAACACAAATGGTTCTACAACCCTCATAAATGATTAACGGTATCTAATAACACAAATGGTTCTACAATCCCTCATAAATGCTTAACGGTATCAAATAGCATGTGGTTCTACAACCCTCATAAATGATTAACGGTATCTCATAACAAAAATGGTTCTACAACCCTCATAAATGATTAACGGTATCTAATAACACAAATGGTTCTACAACCCTCATAAATGATTAACGGTATCTCATAACACAAATGGTTCTACAATCCCTCATAAATGATTTTCAGTATCAATAACATGTGGTTCTACACTCCCTCATAAATAATTAACGGTACCTAATAACACAAATGGTTCTACAATCCCTCATAAATGATTTACGGTATCTAATAACACAAATGGTTCTACAATCCCTCATAAATGATTTTCGGTATCAATAACATGTGGTTCTACAATCCCTCATAAATAATTAACGGTACCTAATAACACAAATGGTTCTACAATCCCTCATAAATGATTTACGGTATCTTATAACATGAGGTTCTACAATCCTTCATAAATGATTAACGGTATCTAATAACACAAATGGTTCTACAATCCCTCATAAATGATTTACGGTATCTAATAACACAAATGGTTCTACAATCCCTCATAAATGATTTACGGTATCTAATAACACAAATGGTTCTACAATCCCTCATAAATGATTTACGGTATCTAATAACACAAATGGTTCTACAATCCCTCATAAATGATTTACGGTATCTAATAACACAAATGGTTCTACAATCCCTCATAAATGATTTACGGTATCTAATAACACAAATGGTTCTACAATCCCTCATAAATGATTTACGGTATCTAATAACACAAATGGTTCTACAATCCCTCATAAATGATTTACGGTATCAATAACATGTGGTTCTACAATCCCTCATAAATGATTAACGGTATCTAATAACACAAATGGTTCTACAATCCCTCATAAATGATTTACGGTATCTAATAACATATGGTTCTACAATCCCACATTAATTAATTACGGTTTCTAATAACAAATAGTTCTACAATCCCTCATAAATAATTTACGGTTTCTAATAACAAATAGTTCTACAATCCCTCATAAATGATTTACGGTATCTAATAACATGAGGTTCTACAATCCTTCATAAATGATTAACGGTATCTAATAACACAAATGTTTCTACCATTCCACATTAATGATTTACGGTATCAATAACATATGGTTCTACAATCACTCATAAATGATTTACGGCATCTAATAACATATGGTTCTACAATCACTCATAACTGATTTACGGTATCAATAACATGTTGTCCGACAATCCCTCGTACATGTAAATGATTTACGGTATCAATAACATGTTGTCCGATAATCCCTCGTACATGTAAATGTTTTACGGTAACAATAACATGTGGTCCGACAATCCCTCGTACATGTAAATAATTTACGGTATCCATATATTTCTGATGCTACAATCCCTCTCACTTAACTCTTTCTCACTGGACCAATGTCTATTGGCATGTGGTCCTACACTCCCTCTTACGTGACTAACTGTCCACTGAATTGTGGTCTTAAATTCCTCTCACACTGATGTTTGCTTTAATAATCTCTCTCATTAAACTAACTTTTTCCAGTGACACGTTATTCTCCGATCCCTCTCGCAGAACTAACTGTTCCGTTGACTTGTGGTCCTATAATCCCTCTCACAAGACTTACTGTTCCATTGACGTGTGGTGCTATAATCCCTCTCACAGATCTAACAGTTCCATTGACGTGTGGTCCTATAATCCCTCTCGCAGATCTAACAGTTCCATTGACGTGTGGTCCTATAATCCATCTCAGAGAACTAACTGTGCCATTAGCGTGTGGTCCTATAATTCCTATTCCATTGACGCGTGGTCCTATCATCCCTCTCACAGAACTAACTGTTCCGTTGACCTGTGGTCCTATAATCCCTCTCACAAGACTTACTGTTCCATTGACGTGTGGTCCTATAATCCCTCTCATAGAACTAAGCGTTCCATTGACGTGTGGTCCTATAATCCCTCTCACAGGACTAACTGTTCCGTTGACGTGTGGTCCTATAATCTGTCTCACATGACTAACTGTTCCATTGACGCGTGGTCCTATCCTCCCTCTCACAGGACTATCTGTTCCATTGACGTGTGGTCCTATAATCCCTCTCACAGGACTAATTGTTCCAATGACGAGTGGTCCTACAATCCGTCTCACAGGACTAACTGTTTTATTGAAGTGTGGTCCTATAACCTGTCTCACATGACTAACTGTTCCAATGACGAGTGGTCCTACAATCCGTCTCACAGGACTAACTGTTCTATTGACGTGTGGTCCTATAACCTGTCTCACATGACTAACTGTTCCATTGACGCGTGGTCCTATCATCCCTCTCACAGGACTATCTGTTCCATTGACGTGTGGTCCTATAATCCCTCTCACAGGACTAACTGTTCCGTTGACGTGTGGTCCTATAATCTGTCTCACATGACTAACTGTTCCATTGACGCGTGGTCCTATCATCCCTCTCACAGGACTATCTGTTCCATTGACGTGTGGTCCTATAATCTCTCTCACATGACTAACTGTTCCATTGACGTGTGGTCCTATAATCCCCTCATATGACTAACTGTTTCATTGCCCTATGGGCCTATAAACCCTTGCAAAGGGCTAACTGTTCCATTGCAGTGTGGTCCTATAATCCCTCTCACAGAACTAACCGTTCCATTGACGTGTGGTCCTATAATCCCTCTCACAGGCCTAACTGTTCCGTTGACGTGTGGTCCTATAATCCCTATCATAGAACTAACTGTGCCATTGGCGTGTGGTCCTATTATCCCTCTCACAGGACTAACTGTTCCGTTGACGTGTGGTCCTATAATCCCTATCATAGAACTAACTGTGCCATTGGCGTGTGGTCCTATTATCCCTTTCAGAGGACTTACTGTGCCATTGACGTGTGGTCCTATAATCCCTCTCACAGGCCTAACTGTTCCGTTGACGTGTGGTCCTATAATCCCTCTCATAGAACTAACTGTGCCATTGGCGTGTGGTCCTATTATCCCTTTCAGAGGACTTACTGTGCCATTGACGTGTGGTCCTATAATCCCTCTCACAGGAGTAACTGTTCCGTTTAACTGTGGTCTTATAATTCCTCTCACAGGACTTGTTGTTCCATTGACGTGAGGTCCTATAATCCCTCTCAAAGTACTAACCGTTCCATTGACGTGTGTTCCTGTCATCCCTCGCACAGGACTAACTGTTCCATTGACGTGTTGTCCTATAATCCCTCTCACATGACTAACTGTTCCATTGACGTGTGATCCTATAATCCCTCTTACAGATCTAACAGTTACATTGACGTGTGGTCTTATAATCCCTCTCACAGATCTAACCGTTCCATTGACGTGTGATCCTATAATCCCTCTCAGAGAACTAACTGTGCCATTAGCGTGTGGTCCTATAATCCCTCCCACATGACTACCTGTTCCATTGACGCGTGGTCCTATAATCCGTCTCACAGGACTAACTGTTCTATTGACGTGTGGTCCTATAATCCCTCTCACAGGACTGCCTGTTCCATTGACGCGTGGTGCTATAATCCCTCTCACAGGACTAACTGTTCCATTGACGTGTGGTCCTATAATCCCTCTCAGAGAACTAACTGTGCCATTAGCGTGTGGGCCTATAATCCCTCTCACAGGACTAATTGTTCCAATGACGTGTGGTCCTATAATCCGTCTCACAGGACTAACTGTTCTATTGACGTGTGGTCCTATAAACTTAACTGTTCCGTTGACTTGTGGGCCTATGATCCCTCTCACAAGACTTACTGTTCCATTGACGTGTGGTCCTATAATCCCTCTCACATGTCTAACTGTTCCGTTGACGTGTGGTCCTATAATCCCTCTCATAGAACTAACTGTACCATTGGCGTGTGGTCATATAATCCCTCTCACAGAACTAACTGTGCCATTGACGTGTGGTCCTATAAACCCTCTCACAGGACTAACTGTTCCATTGACGTGTGGTCCTATAATCCCCTCACATGACTAACTGTTTCATTGACCTGTGGGCCTATAAACCCTTGCAAAGGGCTAACTGTTCTATTGCAGTGTAATCATATAATCCCTCTCACAGA